CCTACAGCTTTATTGGCCAGGTTTGTACATGCAAACTGGGCGTGGTGAATCAAATTCCTCGTTTGAAACTTGGCCAGTAGAGCTGATTCTGATTCTGATTCCAATATCAAACCTTGCTGTTGTGTGCAGTATTTTCACAGTGTTCAATCAGAGTGAGCTGGTGTGCTTGAGCTGAAGAACTTTAATACACGGAGATTCATTTTTTGAGGTTAAATAACGGCCCTTTAGGAATCGTGCTGCTAAGGTTCCCCCCAAAATGAGCACCTGCAAATGTTCTTCATCTCATTTTCAAGGTCTGCAGCTCCAGACGATCCCCGCATTGATAAAACGCTCACACGTCCGCGCGCACGTCGTTTAATTTCCCAGCGCAAACGGAAGTATAGATTTGAATGCATGCACACACGCACATGCCCGCTCATATTTGCTGCTAATTGGGTGCGTGCGGAAGCGGACGCAAATGTGTGCAGTGTTAAATGCAGGACACGCACACACAGCGGCGTTAAGTACAGCAGACACACACAACCCCCACAGTGAGATATGGGCCCGGCTGAATAATTTCAATCTTCTTATCAGATGGAAAATATGGACAGCACTTAAAAGCTCTGAAGTGTATCACAGCTATAAATCAAGTCCAACCTCATCGACTCTCCTCCTCCTCCTCCTCCTCCTCCTCCTCCTCCTGCTGCTGCTGCTGTCATTTTCTTCTTCCCTCGTTCCTCCCGTCCTCTCACATCTTCCCTCTCTCCTCACATTTCCTGGACTTTCTGCTGCTTCACATTCCTCCTCTCCCTCCTTTTTAGTCGTCCTCCTCCTCCTCCTCCTCCTCTCGTCTTTTAGGGTTAACTCTAATTGATGAGGCTGCCTTGCATTGATCGTCTTTGATTAAATGGATCGTCGGCCATCTTGCTCTCTGGCTCTCTTGCGGTTTATTATGAGACCCAGTGTGCTCATTACATTACAGAGAGAAGGAGGGACATTTGTTACTGTTGCTACAGTACTGCAATGTAAATAAGCCCACTGCAGTGTGTTAATTTAATTATCATTGCTGCAGATTTTCTTTATGCACTTTGTTTTTTGTAGAGAAACAGCTACTTTTAGCCTGCACGTAAAATACACAGCATACGGTGTTCAACAAATGTATTAGACCACCACCCAGTGAAAGGTTAATGCCACCGCTGTCCTAAACTAACAGCATTGGTCATTCCCAACATTTGCTTTCAGAAGTTTCTGTAATGGTTAATACATCAGTATGTAGAAGATGTTTAACCAAAATGATATTTTAATGCTAAAATATGATTATTATTGTTATCCATGAATTTTCAAATGTACTCATTTACAAAAAAAACAATGAAAAAAACAGTAAAGCACATTATTGTGTCTTAATTCCAATGTCAAATCATAGTTATTTACTTGCATTCCTGAACAGAAAAATGCGTTTTAGTGGTTGAATGTCATGCTTTATTAACTTCTCAGAGAAGACCAGTGAGCCGGCTCAGATCTGGGTATAAAACGATTTTTATGTATATAAACAGTGCTTAAAAGAAAAATGACAGTACATAAATAACATCAAGTCCTTTACAACATGTTCCAATGAACATTTAGTAGTTCTTGAACCTAGCAGGTTGGTTGTTCTGCAGCTCTCTTGTGGATTTTGTCCGTCTTAGAGCGCTCTGTCTCGTCATGAAATGCAGACCGACTGCATGATGTGGAGATCAGGGCTCTGCAGGAGTCAGAAAGTCAAGACTCCTTGTTCTACTTGTGGCTGAGGAGAGTTCTCTGTGTCTCTGGCTGGATGTCGGAGGTCATAAGAATGAATTTGGAATATCAGCTCACATCTAAAAGTGTCTTAAACCCTTTTTCTGGGTGAACTGGTTGCTGTGGCAAACTGCAGTGATGCAGGAGCAGAGGGACGAGGAGAAGGAGGTGAAACTCCTCCGAATCTCTCCGCTCTCCTTCAACGACAACACGCTGCGAGCGTAAACATCCTCAGTTACTTTCCCTTCACAACCTCACAAGGACTAACAATGCTTCTGGCAGACGACAGCAGGGAGACACACAGCACCAGGCGTCCGACTGCAGCAGCTCATGGTGGCAGTATCACAGCAGTTCAATAAAATCACGTTAAAATGCCAACAGAAGGGAAGGCGGCGCAAGGAGGGACGAAATTATCAAGCTCATGGTCATGTTTCACACACACACAAAAAGAAAAGCGAACTGGGTGACTAACTTTTCTGTTTAGGGAGATGTTTTTGGAAGAATTCAGTCTTCATGTATGAGTAGTTGTTGAATGAGACCAAACACATCATGGCAGGTGTTATAACAACAAGACATGTGACAGAGACCTCAATAAATGGTAAATGGTCTGCACTTATCGCGCTTTCCTACCTTTGCGTCACTCAAAGCGCTTTACAATGTTTCTCATTCACCCATTCACACACACATTCATACACCAATGGCGACAGAGCTGCCATGCAAGGTGCTGCCTGTCATTGGGAGTAACTTCGGGTTCAGTGTCTTGCCCAAGGACACTTCGACTGTGGAGGGGGCGGGGATCAAACCGGCAACCTTGCAATTAGAGGACAACCCGCTCTACCACCTGAGCCACAGCCACCCCTAATACTTATTAATACTGAACTAAAAGCACAAGGAAACACACATGAAAACAACGCAGAAGAGTCGTCATTCCTCAGTGGATTGTATTTATTTGCAGAAAACCTTTTGATTGTCCGACACTTTGGTCATATCAAGACATGCTTCACGTTTTGCAAAGTGGCAGCTACAGTTGCTAAGATGCAAAGTGTAGCTTCTTAACATTTAGCGTTTCATGGCAGAGGAAGAGGCCACGACTGTTTTGCTCTTCCTACACGGCAACGTTTTCCTCTAAACCACCGCTGTGACGCTCTGACAGGCCGCTCTTGCAACAAGTCCAAACCCAGAGCCTCCTCCTGTGTTTGTTGTCTAATATTCAACAAGCTTTGGCTTCATTTGATCTTGTGCGAGCCCGAGTGTGTCTCTGTGATTTTCCGCCCCTGATTTACACTTTGGCTTAGCGTGAGCGTTGCAGAAGGATGACAGTTTGTCTCAAAAGCTGTCATCGTCATCTTCAAACCTCCTGTATTTTTTTTTTTTTCCTCCGCGGCTCATCCTCCTTTTCACTGCCAGTCCGACAACTCCTCCCTTCTCTTATCCCTGGCTTCCTTCTGTCGCTCCTTCTCTCCAGATCATTCTTTTAATTCACTCCTCGGTCTCATCATTTCCACCTGTTTTTTTTTTTCTTTTTCTTTTTCTTTTTCTTTTTCTTTTTCCAGGAGACATGTCTGTGCCAGTGTTTAGATAATGTGCCCTTTCAGATGAGGATAATAGGGAATTCGAAAAACTCTCTTTGCTGCTGATAAAACTGCACCGCCTAAAGGGAAACCGCTGAAAGAACATTTTGCTTTTAAGTAAAGTTTAAACACCGACCAGCGTTGTTATTTACTCTTTCCTGGAATCAACCTTGTGATGCACTGCAAATACAATCGTTTCCAAATGAGGTATTAATGCTGAAAAACAGGACACCTACCGAAGCAAAGTGATCGACTCCATGAATATAAAACAGAGCAGAGAAAATCTTTGAAGCTGTAAGTGTCATGAGTCGTCTCATTACAAAATAATAACCCTTTCGGAGGGTGCAACCATATCCATTCCCTTTAAAATGCTGAACGGTGGAATATATTGAGGCAAAATGGAGAAGTGAAAACTGTTTTGTTAACCTGTAATGCTGATTTTTGCATAAAACTTTTCGGCCCAGAATTTATATTTAGGACAACGGCTTCCCTGTCACAGTGTCTGGCCTTGTTGAGGTTTATTTAATCGAATCTCTGACTTCTCTTGTTTCGAAGTCATTCTTGCACTGACTGGACACTTTTTCCTTTTGTTGTAACGGTGAACTTTCTCCACTGTGGGATCGATAAAGTTTATCTTTATCTTTAAACTGACTGACTTACAGGGGTTCCATACATTTGAACCCGATTCAAGTATTAATTGTTTGCAAAATCATGTCATTAAGTGGATTTGCATCACATAATGTATATAAAGAGACATTTTATTGTCTTCCCCCTTCGAGTGACTCCGTTATAAGAAAAATATGATCTTCTAATTCGAGGACGTCTTTATTTAATCATAAAACATCATGTACAGCCCATGACATGCAATCAAAACCTAGTTGTAAAACGCTGATGTGTTTTTTGTGATTGTGTTTTGCTTTGTGTTATATTGCTCTTGTTTTTAAATGGGCTTCTAAAACAGCGTGCCAGTGGGAAGCCGGTGAGGGATCATAACATTGCAATAATGATTTCTACAGGTTGTTAAAAGACCTGGCAAGGGAGGTTTCACCCTCCAAATGAAAAGAAACGACCAGTTGTGTCCTAATTATTAATATCTACAACATGCACACAGTGCTGTAAGACTTGCTGTAACAAACCTCCTAATAATATCCCACTATATTAATACTATCAGTGCTGCTATAAATAATATGTAGCGCCACTCAAACTTTTATCTCAGACTTATGTTTTTTTTTTTAAATCAATATTCTGCTTTTTGTATTTTCTCCTCTTCTTCAGTGTTTCTTCATTTCTACTGTTTCCACACTCAGGCTGCTTTTGCCAAGTTAACCTGATTGTGTCTGTTTTTCCAACCTCAAAGACGCTAAAACGTCGGTAATGGGGGGAAAAAATAACACTTCTGGCTCCAGCACAGTGATACTCATCTATCATAACCTTCATCTTTCACCTTTCAAACAGAAACCTTCTGCCAAAATACTTTGCCAGTGAGCGGTAGAGTCTTGCTGTGGTGCTCATCTGTCATTCTCACCATTTACTCATTCTTCCAGGTGACTTACCGTCAGATCAGGCAGCTATTCTCTCTTCATATCTGTCCTGCTTCTCCCCACAAACCTCATCAGAAAATTCCTTCTACTTTTTCTTCCCACTTTGTCCCCCCCCCACCTCCAACCCCTTCAGGTAAATTCACCTGCATCGAGGCTCGCTTCCACCTGGAGCGTCAGATGGGTTACTACCTGATCCAGATGTACATCCCCTCGCTGCTCATCGTCATCCTGTCCTGGGTGTCCTTCTGGATCAACATGGACGCTGCTCCCGCCCGGGTGGGTCTGGGCATCACCACTGTGCTGACCATGACCACGCAGAGCTCCGGTTCCAGAGCCTCCCTGCCCAAGGTGAGGACAAATCAAACACATCCCTCAGCAGCTTTCTGGAAAAAATAGACGTCTTAAAGTTGCAGAAAGTCATAGTTTATAAACTGAAATCAAAAAGTTCTGAGTCTGCACCAATAAGAACCGAACTTAGCATACGTTACTTACATCTGGCTGCCGTTCCCTTCCAAGTCGACACCTTGTGCAGCAACACAGCACTTCCAGCGATTGCGTCACATTTGTAATAAGTCCTGTTTGTAAGCACGTCGAGCACCATCTGCGATCTGCACTGGATCTCCCCTGCTGAGTGAAAGCAGCAACTCTTCAACTTGAATTTCATTTTGGGGCTGGAAGAAGTCACAGGGAGACAAATCTGGCAAGTGGGGTGGGTGGGGAGTGACACTCGTGTTGCTGTGCCAAAAGAAGAACTCAGTTCAGGTTATTTTACTGAATATTGGGACTGTCCACTAATCGAAAGGTTTGGTGGTTTGATCCCTGCCCCCAGTGTGCTTGGGCAAGATGGCAGATGAGCCCTTTGAATGGCAGCTCTACCACTGTTTGTGTGGATGGACATTGTAAAGCACCATGCAGAACCAAACTGAGGATAAAAGACGTTACACAGGTGTAGACCATTTCATTGCTTAGAGGCCTGAGGACATTACAGTAGAAATCGCCGCTGACCCTGGAGGTCAAGTTTATGGGACCAGTTCCTGACCTGGTGCATCTTCTCCAGTCTTCCACTGAAGACTGCTGTTTAGTTTCTGCATCATCACCTCCAATGATGATCCTCAACGGGAATGTGTTCTTATTCTGGGCCGAGGATTTGAGCACGTTTCAACATGGTGTTGCCTCTGCAGGCCTATTATGAAATTACCAATACGTACCTGCCAGTGATCACAGAAACTTGACAGGTCTGATGTTGATTGTGCAAATTGGCAGAGAATCATGACTCAAAAATAACTCTGCCACGCTCATGTGCAACAGGAAAGACTGACTTTTTGATCACATGTTGCTTGATCTGTCTGGAAAAACAGAAAAGAAAAATGCAGTCTGTGATTATAGAAGGAGTTTTGTGCATTTCTTAAAAACGGCTTTTTCCTGACAGCCTCACCGTAATGACAAGACTGTAGGAAATCAACCAACTGTCCACTTCAAACAAGATATGTGTGTTAAATACTGAGCTTTAGAGCCGTTAGTTCATCTGTTGTTTTTACTATGGATGAAGCCCAGCTAGCTGTTTCCTCCTGTTTCTAGCATCAATGCTAAGCTACGCTAATGTTCTCCTCTCTTCAGCTATGTACTTAGAGTGGTTATCGATCTACACATCGAACTCTGCAAGAAAAGGTCTATTTCTCAGCATGTCAGACTTCTATAAGACATAACAAGTCAGAGATATAAAATAATGATCAAAAGAAAACGTCTGAGCTTAACTGTGAGGATTTTCGATCATGATTTGTCAAGATGGTGATTTGAATGAATTTTGCCTCGCTTGTTTTGAACGGTGATTTCACTTTCTTTCATTTCCTGAATGGCTCCACTGAGCTTTGAGAAACAGCTTTGTTTTGTTTCCATCCAAATGTCGAAAAAAATGAAGATAAAGAGAAAAGGGCAGCGGTAACACAGAGAAAAAAAATATTATTGGCATGAGGCTTGATGATGACTGATGTTTTTCCATTTCTTGGTTCACTTCAGACAGAGAGCTACAGTTTTTTTTTTCTTTTCTTTTATGAATAATTAATGCGTAAAACAAGGACAGCGGCAGTGAAAAGAAAAAACTCTGTAGACCTTGATAGGAATTAATTGAAAAAAGAAAGAGGGAAGAAAGAATAATAAAAAAAAAAAAAACAAGACAGAGGAATAGAAAATGTCCTTTTCATTGATAAAGATAGAGTTGAGGAAAGAGGAAAGATGGAGGGGGGAGAGAGAGAAACTATAGGAGAGGAGAAGGACAGAAAAGAGAAATTTAAGTTTAAGGTGACAAAGATGAAAAAAATAAAAAATCCAGAGGAGTCTTTGTGTTTGTTCAGGATTTTCAGATTAGTGAGAGAGAAAAAAATAACAGTTCGAGTTTGCGTGAGCTAGTAGGATTGTATAATTATGTCCAGGGAAGCTGTAATCCTCAACACGCACACACACACACACACACACACACACACATACACACACACACACAGTGTTTGTTGACATTAGGTGCTTCATGCGCTCTAAAAATTGAACAAGTGAACCGTGATTCCTCCGCAGTTCATCTGTCACAATAATGATCACACAGCACAGCTGAGCTTAGGTGGGCACACTGCTCACACGCACACACACACACACACACACACCTCTCTGTGTGATTGATAACAGGCACACACACTCCTACACATATGGCTCTCTTCATATGCGACTGCTGCGCCGCGTCAGATGAAGCAAGATGGAGGAGGAGATGAGGACAGAACTTAGCCGAGCAGCTGATGCTGACGTGCTGCTAACGGTAGCTCCTGACACAAAGTGAATGTGAGTGGTTGGCTTCAAGGAGGTGAAATATAGAGAAGTGTTTCAGGCTTCTGGACCCCACTGTTTATTATCACCTCAGGAAAAAAAAAGAAAGAAAAACTAAAATACTCACAATAGTAAACAACAAAATATCTGCTCTTTCAGTTTTAACGAGCAGCATTTAGCAGCTTTCTAAGAATCCTTGATGAGTTTTTCAAACATAGAGGCAAGGATTGGAAGTAAAAAGAAAAATCGAGCCGGACTTTATGTCAGAGAGAAACGCAGCTGTGTGTCGAAGGCCTTATGTGGCTCCGAGGGCAAAACTATGATGTCAAGGAAGCTGTTTGCTCTCTCCACCAGGTCTGACACTGACTGTGCTCCGTAACACTTTGGATGCCACAGCTGTTGACACTCCTGATCCCACACGTCTGGCTCTGAATCCTCCCGTTCAATCTTCTTCACCCCTCGTGCAGGTTTTGTGACAGACTGCAAGCTGTGATTGGTGCAAATTCAGTATGCGGTAAAAAATAAAACAACTCAAAAGTGCATCGCTCACGTCAACCACGATCACCTCGACTCTGGTACAATACAGGCAATGAGTGTTCGGTTGTCTATTGTTAGCGCTGACGCATTTGGGGAAAAATACTTAAAAAACAGCTTGAAAACAAACAGCTTTAACATGTTATAAACAAGACCAAGTGGAAACTGCATGAACCCCCAGAAGCCCATCCGTTATCGAGACATGGACAACTTGGAGGTGAATCTCTTCAATTTGGCCATAAGGTAAAGTGGCTTTAAGATTATGCGACATCCTTGTGCCACAAAATTTGGTGAATGTTGTAACTACAGACAGAAAGTGAACCTAAATTAGCTGTAAAGAACCAGAATAAGTGGAGTTTGGGATTTCTGTGCAGCCAACGATAGTTACACTGAGATAATGCATGTTTAAAACGTGAGGAAAACAATCACTGACAGTTGTTAAAGCTAAAATAAGATGCTTCTATGAACAATAATAATAATTAATAAAAGTCTTGAGACACTCAAAGGGATTCCTGCTTCCCATGTCAGCAAGTTGGGCTGTTCATGAAATGGTCGATTTGTTAAGGTAAGAACAATGTGTGTGTAGATCCTGTCAACAACTTTTTAGTAAAAAGAAGAAAAACCATTTAATTTAGCTTAAATTCAATTCTATGTGCTGCACCAAAAACTATTGTGTTCCTCTAATACAGGCTCATTAAACTGGATATTCTTAACATTTTTTGCTTTAAAAAGAAAAACTGAGAAAATAAAATGACGTCCATTTTTTGAAGTGTAGAAGAGAGTCCCTCTCAACATCCACTCGCTCAGTCGGTCAGTCATTTAGCCGATCAGCGGTCCAGTTGGACAAACCGCCAGCGCTGCGGCCCTCCTCTCATTCATCTTTGAACACTGGAACATTGTCCTACGAAGCATGAGTACAGTGAAGGCACCTAGGCTGCAGCTCAGCAGGCCTCACTGGTCAGTTTGTCTGTCAGAAGCATTCAGCTTCAGCCAGGACACGACTGAGCGGGGACGAGGCCGACTTGGTTTTAGTTTAGTCAGAGCTACGGGCTACTTTTAACACTCACACAGAGCCATGTGGGCTTTTCTTTGACAACACTTCAGTTAACAAAGTGAGATTTTAATCTTCCTTTTTGTGGCAAAATATAAAGATCCCTATGATGAGAATAACCTTGTCATGTAATCTATTACTCTTGTTTATTAATGCTGCAGAGAGCAGGCCATGAACTACAGCATCATTCTGATATTTGAGCATAAATTACACACAGTGCTGAGTTGATGCGATTACCGAGATGATTATGTCATCCCAACCCATCAAAACAGGCCCCGGAATGACTTCTTCTGAGTCAAAACTCAAACACTACAATGTGCTGCTGTGTAGTGTGGAGCTCTTCTACAGTGTTTAAGCAGAGCCACAGGTGAGCAGACATGCTCGAGCTGCAGGTGAGCGGTGCTACTTGGTAGAGATAGAGGTAGGTACTAACAACATCGGGATCATTATAAGTTTTACAATACACGTTTCTAATAATTACTTTTTCAAGTTATTTCGTCCCCATAAAACCTAATTTATTAAACTGCTTGTTGCTTTTTATTTGAGCCGCACCTATAGGTTCCCATTAACATGACGATGCCCTTATATTAGCACAATATATACAAGATCTTTCTTCCTCGTATGAATACAAAGCCAACAGCAAAGTTAGTGGAAACCAGCCCAGAAGCCCTTCCTGGAAACATGCTGCAGTGAGAACGACGTCCATTTGCACATCCAGGGAGGCAAGGTGGCACAAACATCCGGCTACACCGCCTCAGGCTCTAAGCTGATGACCGAATTTAGAAACAGCAATGCATTACATTAGCACAATACAGAGAAATGTATTCTATGCAAAGGTGGAGAGTTACAGCTCAGTCTGTTTAAAGAAGGGATTGTAGAAAAAAGTTAGAAATATGTAACTTGATGGGTTTTAGAGATCATAATCAATGCCACACTAGATGTTGTAACCCTTCTTGAGGGGTTTTTAGAAGCTATTTTAAAACATATTTACCACCAACACAAGGTTCAGTTTTGCTCGATGTTGCTGGAGGACGTCATGAAGCTCCAAATTGTCAGCAAAACAAAAAAAAAGAACACCAGGAAATAAGCAGTTTAAAGACACGAAGTCCAACAATTTGGCGTACCCGCTCCGTCGCCATCTGCTTCATTTAGCTCGCTTAATGATCTACTTTCCCAGAATCGCCCCGCAGAAGGCTGTATTTTGTGCCAGTTTCCAGGCAACAAAAGGCCATTAAGGAGGTTGTTTCGCATATTTCAAACTCATAATGGAAATGCAGAGTTCTTGACTTTTTATTTTTTTGTCGTTGCGTCTCATTTTCTCTCAGTGTCTCGTGCTAATATTATAACTCCAAAACAACACTGTGAAGCTTCACAAACAGTGTTGCTCAGTGATAGAAAAGGTTGCACCTCTCAAACCCCAGGCTGAGAGCAGACACTGGTTTCCATTGTTGTGTTTCTGTTCAGATGAAACGGGGAGTTAAACGCTAGCCGTGCGCTGAACTACTTAACTTTCGAGGCTGATTGTTCGCTGCGCTCCTCGAGTCGTCTTTAAAGTCAGTCGCTTTTAAAACACCGTCTCTAGAAAAATCTTCGCTCTGTTTCTGCTCCCTCGCTCTGCCTGGATGACCATGAAACCGAGTGAACCAGTTGACCATTTAGGCCTCAGCGGCTCGGTGCAGCTCCGGGGGGGATGGGGTGGGAGTCACTCGGGCATTCCAAGATAAATGTTTTCATAAGCAGGCGCAAACGAGCACGAATCACAACAAGGCCGAACAGCGGCGGCGACGATAAGCGCTGCGTGTTTGTGTAAAGTGATCCAAAGTCATAGTTTAATTGGATTTTAAACGGCTGATTGTGGGTTTTCTCTCTCTGTGACAGAACAGGGCTCTCCCTCTCAGGCTTGCACGGTGTAATTGCGTGTGGAGATGGAGAGTTGTAATGACAGGCCGGGGTGAATACACTTGAATAATGGCACTTGGCAGGCAGATAGCAATCAGACAATGATCCAACCAGACTTCATTTAGCCCTGATTATCTGGACAGTCCTCACCGTGGCCATCTTGCCTCGTTTAATGTTAAAAGCTGCTCATGTTTGTCTGGTTTGTGTCTTGGGTTGCGGTTTTATATCCGTGTCACTGTCCACGTGTAATCGGTTAAATCCATTTATAAACGTAGAGCATCATAAACCTGTTATCTGAGCTCTGTGCACTCAGTGTGTTCAGGAAAAGTTTTATTTGCTTTTGTAATAGGCTCAATCCATCTGGTACAATAAATACGCTGTAATTGTACCTTCATATTATGAATATTTTCCTAGTTGTCCTTGAAGGACATCATCCTTAGTCAAAATTTTGAGCTTTTTTTTTAGTTTGCATTATTTTTCCAGCCTTGTAGAGCTCTCATGCCTTCATAACCAAAGCAGATAGACAGTTAACAGCAACAATAACTGCAAAAAAAACAGTTTTGGGCTCTGTTAAAATCCAACCAAATCCATTTTACATGTCACAGTGTCAAGAAAAAATCTCATTTTTGTTCAGCACAACTGTTTCTGTAACCAGTTTTGAGCATCAATCATAGAACAATATCACAATTTCAACAGCAAAACAATTTGATATCTATAACGCAGAGTCCTAGAAACAATAATTCAGCAGAGAAAACTTTACAAAGTGCATTTCAGATACTTTTTAAAGGGTCGTATCACCATGTGGGATGGGTGCTTGGTCAAACACATCACATCTACAAGGTCTTATCACCTACATTGTGAAACCAGGCTCATCATCTAGCCCAGTGGTCGGCAACCTTTAACACTCAAAGAGCCATTTGGAACCGTTTCCCATGGAAAAGAAAACACTGGGAGCCACAAAACCCCTTTGAAATCTCAAATGAAGATAATACTGCATGTATCGTTTTTACCTTTATGCTATGTCTAAAAAAAACTAGTGTGTTGCATTTATGAAATCAATAAACTGCTACAGAGAAAACAACATTTTATTTCTGCAAGAAAAACATTTTAACTCCAACAACAACAAAAAAGAGTTAAAGGTTACCTTTAAATAAAATACTAAATATCTATTTGAATAACCCTTGTATTTATGAAATAAAAAGCCGATCTTAAACTATCCACCTGCAGCAAAGTAAACATGGTGTCTGGTTGTCCTGCTGCCTGCAGCTGGACTGCTGACCAGACTGCTGACCGCCTGTGAGCGCTTTGAGACAAGAGGAGCTCACGGCAGCACCGCTGGACAGTAGCTGCAGAACGATACGTTTTTTCACATCAGTCTCCAAGACACCAGAAAAGTCTCCAATAACACCAGAAAAAGTCACTAGATTTGTCGCTAGTCGCTTTTGACAAAAAAATCTAAATAAAAAATCGCCAAGAGGCTTTGGAAAGTTGCCAGATTTAGCAAGAGCATCATCAAGGTGGCACCACTGCACATGCCGGCGAGTGTCGCACATCGGCGGTTATGATGCATATTTTGAGCAAGTTCACAAAAACCTTCAAATTTAGAATCACATTTTAAAAACTAACGAGCTAAAATAAAATACATTTAAATTAAAATGCTCACTATTTATTTTCCAAAGCCACAAGGAGCCGCAGCAGAGGTTGCGGGCCCCTGATCTAGCCATTGTGTTTTCTCTGTAAAACCAGTTTTCCAATTGTTCAATCAGGTGATTCTGAGGAGGTCAGATGGGAACTTTCAGATTTGTTTGGTTTTATATGGAATGACGTGATGTTTACTGAGCTACCTGCTATAAATTGGTTCAACTTCAGGTTCAGTCTCAGGTTCTGGAACATCTAACCCCTAAAATTCACTCCTAAAACTGTGGAGAAAAAAAAAAATATATATATAATGACCGGCTCGTAATGTTGCTGTGGTATCTTAAAATGGTTTAGGCCTGATGCCATTCAGCAGCTGGAAGAGTGTTGAGGGGTTGAGTAACGTTATGCTAAGCTAGTTATACTTTCTCAAAAGTTCCATTTAGTTCTAAGTTAATTGATCATTGTTCCATTTGAAAAAAAAAACAAAAAAACTTGAGAATCTGTGAGGATTTGTCACATGAGTAGTAAAATGAGAAATTTGAGACTAAAACTTTGAAATTCAAATGTGTTGAAAAGCTTGTTCACACTTTTCCATTTAATGTAACGCTGTAGTTTAGCCCACCATAGCCTGTGTTGTTTTTCTTATCAGCTGGGTGAAGATGTGGCAGGAAATGTCACTGAAGCCAAGCAGTAGAGCAAGCAGAACACATCCAGCCAGCAGGATGCCCTCTTCATGTTTAAAACCATACAATTAATTTTAATTATGTGTTTTTCCCTCATATTATAAATGTATTATGAATCTAATTTTGGAATCTATCAAATTTGTAGCACGTATTTCACCTCATAGTTTAGCAACATATTCCCCAAATGACCTGATTCATTGCACCACATTATTATTTGTGCCGCTGCATTTAAACTACCTTCTAAAATGACTTCATTTAATGGTCGTAGCGACAGGGACAAGTTAGGCTGCACCCACAGACAACAAACAAAACGCCACTGGGTATCCAACATGGCCACAGTTCATCTGATTTGCTTTAAACTCAACACTGCCTTTTCCTTGTTTTCTCAGAAATACACAAACCGAGTTGAACACAAACGCAGATACTTCCATTTCTTGGGGAGTTTAGGTTTTCTCTTGGTTGTGTTTTTGTTTTGTTTCTATCTCAGATTGGTATATGGACAGTTTTGGGTGGATAATGAAGCACGAAACTGTGTGATTTCATAAATTTAGGAGTGAAAAATTAGCAATTAGGACCAGGATTAGAAGGAAAGGAAGAAGTGAATGACTCCTTGTCTTGGTCGTCTTGTTATACTCATCAACAAATAACACATCACCTCTTATTGTTTCATTTCTGATGCCCTGCAAACGCTCTCCTGCTCTTTGTCTCCCGCCTGCAGGTGTCCTACGTAAAAGCCATCGATATCTGGATGGCCGTATGCCTGCTGTTCGTGTTCTCGGCTCTGCTGGAGTACGCCGCCGTCAACTTCATCGCCCGCCAGCACAAGGAGCTGCTGCGCTTCAGACGGAGGCGACGACACATGAAGGTGAACGCTCTCACACATCTGTGATACGATCAGACATTTACATCCACATTTACATTTGTTGTTGTTTTTTTAATCTTTCCGCCACGTCTGTCGTTTGTTCACCGTGTCAGCTGAGGAATCAGCTGAACGGATGAGCTGCGTTCAAAAATTAGATTCTATTTATGACGAAGGTGATTCTGAATAACAAAACGTCTGAAAATGCAAATTCAACAGCAGCTTCTTGTGCTTAAAGATTTGACAGAGATGAATACCATTAGTTTCTCACATCCACAATCCTTCAGATCTTTACGTTTGACAAAGTTTACAAGAACAAAGGAGCTTTAAGGTAATGAAGGTCTGTTTTCCAGTGGTCCAGTAGTTCAGCAGTTGATTTTTGTCCACACATAAGAATTTAAACGATCCTGTCCCATGTTTTTGTCTCTAACAAACCAAATAGAGGAGCAACAAATAATCTAAATCCACAGATGTGTCATTTTTACCAGCACTAGTGTGGAAAAGCAGCCCCGTGCAGAATAAACCGTGGTCGTCGTGAGGCGGTCGCTGTGGCGGTTTCTGTCGCTGTGGCGGTTTCTGTCGCTGCGAACACCAGGCTGCAGTTTGTGCAGAATCCCAGCTCCCCTTCGTCTTCGGGCCTTCTGAAAGATTCACTCCGTGTTTGATATTAGCTTTGTGTGGTGCTCATCATCACCGGGCAGAAACACAAGGCATGAATGTTTCATGGGCCGAGCGCTGAGCACGACCGAAGGCTGAGCCACGGAGCAAACACAGACAAGGCTCATAATGGCTTTGTGATGTACAAGAGCTCAAAACACGGTGAAATCAAGGGAGGGAACATTTGTTTGTGGGAAATGCACAAGAAAAACAGCGACGAGTGCAAGTTTTAGAGGTGGGATGTGTGGTATGTGTGTCTGTGTTGAGCTGAATGCTGTTCTTAGTCTCTGTAAAGGGATGAAAATCACATCAGGGGGTTTTTGCTTCTTCGGTCTTATTCTTTCCATCGTAGTATTTCAAAAGAAACATCGTACTTTATAACTTGCTGGGTGACAGAGTAAAGAATGAGACATTTAGTGGTGTTTTAACCAAGTTATTAACAAGCAGGTATGCGGAGATGTCAACCACAGCTCATCTCATTTCTCTAAACTTAACTAAATCGTTTTGATACCTAAACAAGGCCAAACTAAATGTAAATGGCTAACGTTCCCACAGAGGACACAAGCCTTAGTGAGTGAAGGTCCTCCTGCTGCCTCACCTCCCGCCTCATGGACGCCTCTTGTACACTGTCCAAGTATTTCCTTTGGTTGAGAAATGATGCTTCTTTCTCAACATTAACTTTGGTAGGAAGGTCAATCTGGGGGAAAAGAGTTGCACATTTTTCTGCCTCACAGTCAACAAACTGACCGAAGGATCAGACTGTATCAGTTCAGACGAGATTCTGAAAATATGTTGCTGCACTGTCTCAGAAAAAACCAAAAAAACATTTAACTTGCCATTTTAAAAGTTTAATATCTCCAAAAATCTAATTCTTACAGTCATGACATTTAGTGAGGAAACAGACAGAACTACTTCCAGCAAATCCAAATGACTGGATGGCAGCAGAGGTTTTAATCACTGGCCTTTGAAAATGGAAACGTTTGGTCTCGGCGGCGCAGAAAGAAAGTTCCTGTGAGTGTACGTATACTTTGACATGCAAACCACAACAGCTGGTGTGAACTGGGGTCTAAATAATCTCATGTTCCTGTCATGTGATCTTCATGTTAAAATGCACCATGTGGGGCTTATTTGCTGTTTTGCCTCAGCTGGTGTCCCCACACATATACTTGAAGTGAGTAACGAGCAGAGGGACTGATGATTATTTAACACACATCACATTAAATCTCATGTAAACGACAAGAAAAGTGAAACCTGAGACCAGAGGCTGACACGGTGGAGTAACAGAAATGTCTGATCCTGTTTCCTCCTCGGGATTCAAACCGAGGAGTGTCGGCTCATAGAGTGCTCTGTTTGGACTCACTTCAACGGAGACGAAGGGTTTTCTGGTATCGAGGAGTTTTGGCTGTAAAGAGTTTGTAGCCAGTAAATAATAATAATAATAATAATAATAATAATAATCTTCAGCACCAAAATTAGAAGAATTGGAAATACTTGTAAAAAATAAAATTTTTAATTATTTATTTATTTCTTTACTTGTTTTGTTAATTTTGTTTATCAGATATTAAAAAACAAAACAACCAAAGTGTTTAGATTTCTGTTCAATATGGTTACTGACCTCTTAAACTTCACAAATTGAGCCAGAAAAAAAATCATTGGACCATCTAAAATGATCCAATTTAAGTATTTGCTTTACTTATTCTTAAAATGTAACGCTTGATTTTGAAATTAAACTTGCTGTTATTTTCTTTTCTTTCTGTCTTTTTTTTAAAAAGAAAAAAGAAAACAGCAGCTGGGTTGCAGCAAAAAAAACTGAAGAAACGTAGACGTCGTGACATCCGACGCTTAATGCAAAAGAAGTATTTGTAAACTGTAATTTCAAGTCGATCAAGTCCACTAACATCCACGGACTTCACTAAAGCAGACAGATGAAGGAGATTTGTTAGGATCAGTACTTTTTACAGTGTGGGAGAAAAACCAAAAACATAAACTACAGCAGAGGATTATTTTGTGTAGAAAAAATAATCAGTAGAACAAATTCAGCGTTCGATATTTTAAGAAACCAGCGTGTGTGTGTGTGTGTGCGTGTGTGTGTGTGTGTGTGTGTCTGCTGATATCTGTTTGTCTGAGCAGCATCTCAACAGCACGATGACGTCAACACAGTTTATCTTGACATCCCAGTGAAGTTAAAAACAAATACGTCTCAGAGAACCGCCTTAAATTTTTCATCAGCTGTCTAACCGCCTGTGAAGATTACTGCTGATGAAATAAACATAAACGCGGAAAGCCGAAAGTATGACACTTTATTTAATTTCTCCAAACTGCTTTGGATATATTTAGTTAAAATGACAAAGCACAATGTCAATTTTTCCCTGGAGGAGACTTGAGATGCATTCAGGCTTTTCTTTTTTCTTTCCTCTACTTTCTTTTGGTTGGTTTTGTCTTTGAAGCGTTTAATCAATCAATTTCTATCTGTCCGGTTGGATTTATCAGTCCCAGGCTGCTGTATTGAATAAAGAGTAAAGCTGTCAGGCCTGTAGAGAATATGGAAGCGCTGCCTGATTGTAAAGCTGGTGGTTTGTGTGGGTGAAGGGCAGGAAAACGCAAACGCCCACAAGAAATGCAACAATGCGCCTGCAGTAAACAATCCATACTGGGCTGGATTTGTGAGTCTGTGCGAGTGTGTCGGAGCGAGCGAGCGAGCGAGATGGTATCTATGCAGCCGGTGAGCATGCATGAGTGCGTTCACGAGTGCTGCTGTGCATTTCGGTGTTGTAGGGCATGTGTTCGTGCCTGCCACGACTCGAGCTGCTTGATTGAGTCTGACATGTCTCGGTGTGTGCGAGCGCGATCGCGTGTTCACGTATTTATGAGGACCCTCGTGTCCTCGTGAGGTGAGAAAGGTGGCGCCACGGGAGGAAACTCCAGGTTGCACCATCTGAGTTTAGACCCAGAGAGGTTCGTCGGACCAACTAGTTCTGATGTAAAAGAATCTTTTACAGATTTTTTTTTTTTCCCACTAATCAGACCCACAGATGTTTGCAGTGATACAAAATAGATCAAAGCAGCAAATGTTCATATTTGATGAGCTGGATGCAGCAAATGTTGATCGTTTTGGCTGCTTGATAAACAAGTTAATCAATTATGGAAATGGATTTATTCTCCGTTGAAGTCGTCCGTCGAGCATATGTGTTACTAACTGATGGATTTATCGATGATAAAATGCAGCACTTAAGGACAACTCAGCGGTGTGTGGCGACCCGCCTGTCCGTCTTCATCAGCAGATTCACTGCTGGTTTCACATCGAAGAATCTCGTTTTATTGACGGGTGCAAACTTATTTTGCAGATTTTTGGAATGTTGGGTGAAAACAGAACAACTTTTTTGGCATTTTGTTTTGCTTTCTTTAGGATTTTTACAGCCCAGCGATATAAACGAAGTCTTTTTTCTTGCTTTTATGCAGTAAAGTTCGAGTTGTAAGTTTTCTATGAGAAGGAAAAAATAACAAGGGAGGTAAAAACAGTTAAAAACAGAATAAAACATAAAAGAATAAAATTGTTTCAAGGCAGAAAAAAAAGGACAGGTTGTAAGTGTAAACATCTGTATTTGCTTAAATGCAAAATAATGAGTTGGGTGACAAACATTCCATCAACGTTACACGTCACGTTGAACCAACATGTCTTTAATGATAACAGCAAGACAGTTCAAGTGGTACAAACCTAAATCTAACATAAAATGACTTCAACCAACAGGCTCCTACTGATATTTTAAGTTTTTAAAAAAACAAAAAACAAATAAATAAATAAAATAAAAGTTGGTTGAATTTCACATCATATTGAATCAGATTTCACTTTTTTTAATTTTAGTTTTTAAAAAATTTTAATTCCAAAAATTGAACTCCCACGTTGGTTAATAAATATTTAATTAGTTAAATTATTGACAGCAATTATTCGCTAAAACATTGATGACTAGCATCACTGGTAGTGACTCCAAAAGTCACGACAGGAAAACAGCTGAAGTGTAAATAACATGGTTTTATAGGTATTCTTGCAGGAGCTCCTGGTACACAGCTGAGTGAACCAAGTGATCTAGTTGGTGAGAAGGGAGAGTAGAAGTTAGGAGTTCAAGCACATCCAACATTTTAGCTGAACTGACTCAGTGAAATGAGCTGAGGTACCACAAACCTTCAGCCCTTCTCCACAGTGTGTCCTCACCCAGTAATAACTAACGGATGCAAAGAAGCGTTCAGGCTCGTGAAGGTTTAGCATGTCAGAGATGTAACCGGGGGTAAGCCCCAGCCATGCTTCAGTGTCGTCATTAAAGTTTTAAAATCCACTCAGATACATTTGGCTC